CCCAGTACTATATCCAACACTGTACACTCCCCAGTTCTATACCCAACACTGTACACTCCCCAGTACTATACCCAACACTGTACACTTCCCAGTACTATACCCAACACTGTACACTCCCCGGTACTATACCCAACACTGTACACTCCCCAGTACTATTCCAACATTGTACACTCCCCAGTACTATACCCAACACTGTACACTCCCCAGTACTATACCCAACACTGTACACTTCCCAGTACTATACCCAACACTGTACACTCCCCAGTACTATACCCAACACTGTACACTCCCCAGTACTATACCCAACACTGTACACTCCCCAGTACTATACCCAACACTGTACACTCCCCAGTACTATACCCAACACTGTACACTCCCGAGTACTATACCCAACACTGTACGCTCCCGAGTACTATACCCAACACTGTACACTCCCCAGTACTATACCCAACACTGTACACTCCCGAGTACTATACCCAACGTGACCCTCCAGGGTGAGTGTGAGGACCCGTATCCTCACACTCACCCTGGAGGGGTGAGTATGAACAATGCACGTATGATATTACATGCATTATTGCACCAATTACTCGAAATGAAGAGGCGGAAACCCAAGAACTAAATCTCCTGACCCGCGAGCATGACTAGTGGAGGCAGGTGCTGGGAAGGAGAACAAATTGTGCACCAAACACTAGGCAACGAGTCGGGGCCCAAGAGCTGAGTCTGACGCCTCCGTGGACACCCATAGGGAGATGGACATGACCCACGAGCACCAGGGAGGGAGATGAGCGGAGGAGGAGGCCAGAGGTGCGCCCTGCTCCCTGATCAATAACACTGTTCCTGGCCCCTCCCTGCATGGTGGCTCATACACCCCTGACGCCTCTACTATGTGTATACCTGTATGTTGCTGGTGTCAACAGTTACCCCCAGCTGGTGCCTCTACAGTTACTCCCAGCTGGTGCCTCTACAGTTACTCCCAGCTGGTGCCTCTACAGTTACCCCCAGCTGGTGCCTCTACAGTTACCCCCAGCTGGTGCCTCTACAGTTACTCCCAGCTGGTGCCTCTACAGTTACTCCCAGTTGGTGCCTCTACAGCTACCCCCCAGCTGGTGCCTCTACAGTTACCTCCCAGCTGGTGCCCCTACAGTTACCCCCAGCTGGTGCCTCTACAGTTACCTCCCAGCTGGTGCCTCTACAGTTACCCCCAGCTGGTGCCTCTACAGTTACTCCCAGCTGGTGCCTCTACAGTTACCCCCAGCTGGTGCCTCTACAGTTACCCCCAGCTGGTGCCTCTACAGTTACCTCCCAGCTGGTGCCTCTACAGTTACCCCCAGCTGGTGCCTCTACAGTTACCCCCAGCTGGTGCCTCTACAGTTACCTCCCAGCTGGTGCCTCTACAGTTACCCCCAGCTGGTGTCAACAGTTACCCCCAGCTGGTGTCTACAGTTACCCCCAGCTGGTGCCTCTACAGTTACCCCCAGCTGGTGCCTCTACAGTTACCCCCAGCTGGTGCCTCTACAGTTACCCCCAGCTGGTGCCTCTACAGTTACCCCCAGCTGGTGTCAACAGTTACCCCCAGCTGGTGCCTCTACAGTTACCCCCAGCTGGTGTCTACAGTTACTCCCAGCTCGTGCCTCTACAGTTACCCCCAGCTGGTGCCTCTACAGTTACCCCCACCTGGTGTCAACAGTTACCCCCAGCTGGTGCATCTACAGTCACCCCCAGCTGGTGTCTCTACAGTCACCCCCAGCTGGTGTCTCTACAGTTACCTCCCAGCTGGTGCCTCTACAGTTACCCCCAGCTGGTGCCTCTACAGTCACCCCCAGCTGGTGTCAACAGTTACCCCCAGCTGGTGTCTACAGTTACCCCCAGCTGGTGTCTACAGTTACCCCCAGCTGGTGCCTCTTCAGTTACCCCCAGGTGGTGCCTCTACAGTTACCCCCAGCTGGTGCCTCTACAGTTACTCCCAGCTGGTGCCTCTACAGTTACCCCCAGCTGGTGCCTCTACAGTCACCCCCAGTTGGTGCCTCTACAGTCACCCCCAGCTGGTGCCTCTACAGTCACCCCCAGCTGGTGCCTCTACAGTTACCCCCAGCTGGTGCCTCTACAGTTACTTCCCAGCTGGTGCCTCTACAGTTACCCCCAGCTGGTGCCTCTACAGTTACCCCCAGCTGGTGTTAACAGTTACCCCCAGCTGGTGTCTACAGTTACCCCCAGCTGGTGTCTACAGTTACCCCCAGCTGGTGTCAACAGTTACCCCCAGCTGGTGTCAACAGTTACCCCCAGCTGGTGTCTACAGTTACCCCCAGCTGGTGTCTACAGTTACCCCCAGCTGGTGCCTCTACAGTTACCCCCAGCTGGTGCCTCTACAGTTACCCCCAGCTGGTGTCAACAGTCACCTCCCAGCTGGTGCCTCTACAGTCACCCCCAGCTGGTGTCAACAGTTACCCCCAGCTGGTGTCTACAGTTACCCCCAGCTGGTGCCTCTACAGTTACCCCCAGCTGGTGTCAACAGTTACCCCCAGCTGGTGCCTCTACAGTCACCCCCAGCTGGTGCCTACAGTTACCCCCAGCTGGTGTCTACAGTTACCTCCCAGCTGGTGCCTCTACAGTTACCCCCAGCTGGTGTCTACAGTTACCTCCCAGCTGGTGTCTACAGTTACCCCCAGCTGGTGTCAACAGTTACCTCCCAGCTGGTGCCTCTACAGTCACCCCCAGCTGGTGTCAACAGTTACCCCCAGCTGGTGTCTACAGTTACCTCCCAGCTGGTGCCTCTACAGTTACCCCCACCTGGTGTCAACAGTTACCCCCAGCTGGTGTCTACAGTTACCTCCCAGCTGGTGCCTCTACAGTTACCCCCAGCTGGTGTCTACAGTTACCTCCCAGCTGGTGCCTCTACAGTTACCCCCAGCCGGTGTCTACAGTTACCCCCAGCTGGTGTCAACAGTTTCCCCCAGCTGGTGCCTCTACAGTTACTCCCAGCTGGTGCCTCTACAGTTACTCCCAGCTGGTGCCTCTACAGTTACCTCCCAGCTGGTGCCTCTACAGTTACCCCCAGCTGGTGTCAACAGTCACCTCCCAGCTGGTGCCTCTACAGTCACCCCCAGCTGGTGTCAACAGTTACCCCCAGCTGGTGTCTACAGTTACCTCCCAGCTGGTTCCTCTACAGTTACCCCCAGCTGGTGCCTCTACAGTTACTTCCCAGCTGGTGCCTCTACAGTTACCCCCAGCTGGTGCCTCTACAGTTACCCCCAGCTGGTGTCAACAGTTACCCCCAGCTGGTGTCTACAGTTACCCCCAGCTGGTGTCTACAGTTACCCCCAGCTGGTGTCAACAGTTACCTCCAGCTGGTGTCAACAGTTACCTCCCAGCTGGTGCCTCTACAGTTACCCCCAGCTGGTGTCAACAGTTACCCCCAGCTGGTGTCTACAGTTACCCCCAGCTGGTGTCTACAGTTACCCCCAGCTGGTGTCAACAGTTACCCCCAGCTGGTGTCTACAGTTACCCCCAGCTGGTGTCTACAGTTACCCCCAGCTGGTGTCAACAGTTACCCCCAGCTGGTGTCAACAGTTACCCCCAGCTGGTGTCTACAGTTACCCCCAGCTGGTGTCTACAGTTACCCCCAGCTGGTGCCTCTACAGTTACCCCCAGCTGGTGCCTCTACAGTTACCCCCAGCTGGTGTCAACAGTCACCTCCCAGCTGGTGCCTCTACAGTCACCCCCAGCTGGTGTCAACAGTTACCCCCAGCTGGTGTCTACAGTTACCTCCCAGCTGGTGCCTCTACAGTTACCCCCAGCTGGTGTCAACAGTTACCCCCAGCTGGTGTCTACAGTTTCCCCCAGCTGGTGCCTCTACAGTTACCCCAGCTGGTGCCTCTACAGTCACCCCCAGCTGGTGCCTCTACAGTTACCCCCAGCTGGTGTCTACAGTTACCCCCAGCTGGTGTCAACAGTTACCCCCAGCTTGTGCCTCTACAGTTACCTCCCAGCTGGTGCCTCTACAGTTACTCCCAGCTGGTGCCTCTACAGTTACTCCCAGCTGGTGCCTCTACAGTTACCCCCAGCTGGTGCCTCTACAGTTACCCCCAGCTTGTGCCTCTACAGTTACCCCCAGCTGGTGTCAACAGTTACCCCCAGCTTGTGCCTCTACAGTTACCTCCCAGCTGGTGCCTCTACAGTTACTCCCAGCTGGTGCCTCTACAGTTACTCCCAGCTGGTGCCTCTACAGTTACCCCCAGCTGGTGCCTCTACAGTTACCCCAGCTGGTGCCTCTACAGTCACCCCAGCTGGTGCCTCTACAGTTACCTCCCAGCTGGTGCCTCTACAGTTACCTTCCAGCTGGTGCCTCTACAGTTACCCCCAGCTGGTGCCTCTACAGTTACCTTCCAGCTGGTGCCTCTACAGTCACCCCCAGCTGGTGCCTCTACAGTTACCCCCAGCTGGTGCCTCTACAGTTACCCCAGCTGGTGTCTACAGTTACCCACAGCTGGTGCCTCTACAGTCCCCCCCAGCTGGTGCCTCTACAGTTACCTCCCAGCTGGTGCCTCTACAGTCACCCCCAGCTGGTGCCTCTACAGTCACCCTCAGCTGGTGCCTCTACAGTCACCCCCAGCTGGTGCCTCTACAGTCACCCCCAGCTGGTGCCTCTACAGTCACCCTCAGCTGGTGCCTCTACAGTCACCCCCAGCTGGTGCCTCTACAGTCACCCCCAGCTGGTGCCTCTACAGTTACCTCCAGCTGGTGCACATACAGTCACCCCCCAGCTGGTGCCTCTACAGTCACCCCCAGCTGGTGCCTCTACAGTCAGCCCAAACTGGTGTCTACAGTCATCCCCAGCTGGTGCCTCTACAGTTACCTCCAGCTGGTGCCTCTACAGTTACCTCCAGCTGGTGCACATACAGTCACCCCCAGATGGTGCCTCTACAGTCACCCTCAGCTGGTGACTCTACAGTCACCCTCAGCTGGTGCACATAGAGATAACCAACATTATTTCTCCTTCACAGATGCCATCCAGATGGAGTTAATTACTCTGGACACTATGCTGTCCGGTCTGGACAGATGGTACCATTCCCGGCCCTATTATGTCCATCCGTACCCGCACCCCTTCCCAGGACCCGCCCACTACAGGTACGTACCCGCACCCCTTCCCAGGACCCGCCCACTACAGGTACGTACCCGCACCCCTTCCCAGGACCCGCCCACTACAGGTACGTACTCGCACCCCTTCCCAGGACCCGCCCACTACAGGTACGTACTCGCACCCCTTCCCAGGACCCGCCCACTACAGGTACGTACTCGCACCCCTTCCCAGGACCCGCCCACTACAGGTACGTACTCGCACCCCTTCCCAGGACCCGCCCACTACAGGTACGTACACGCCCACTACAGGTACGTACACGCCCACTACAGGTACGTACACGCCCACTACAGGTACGTACCCGCACCCCTTCCCAGGACCCGCCCACTACAGGTACGTACCCGCCCACTACAGGTACGTACCCGCCCACTACAAGGTACGTACCCGCCCACTACAGATACGTACACGCCCACTACAGGTACGTACCCGCCCGCTACAGGTACGTACCCGCCCACTACAGGTACGTACACGCCCACTGCAGGTACGTACCCGCCCACTACAGGTACGTACACGCCCACTACAGGTACGTACCCACCCGCTACAGGTACGTACCCGCCCACTACAGGTACGTACCCGCCCACTACAGGTACGTACCCGCCCACTACAGGTACGTACCCACCCGCTACAGGTACGTACCCACTCGCTGCAGGTACGTACCCGCCCGCTACAGGTACGTACCCGCCCGCTACAGGTACGTACCCGCCCACTACTGGTACGTACCAGCCCACTACAGGTACGTACACGCCCTCTACAGATACGTACCCGCCCACTACAGGTACGTACCCGCCCTCTACAGGTACGTACCCGCCCACTACAGGTACGTACCAGCCCACTACAGGTACGTACCCGCCCACTGCAGGTACGTACCCGCCCACTACAGGTACGTACACGCCCACTACAGGTACGTACCCGCCCACTACAGATACGTACCAGCCCACTACAGATACGTACCCGCCCACTACAGGTACGTACACGCCCACTACAGGTACGTACCCGCCCACTACAGGTACGTACACGCCCACTACAGGTACGTACACGCCCACTACAGGTACGTACCCGCCCACTACAGGTACGTACCCACCCGCTACAGGTACGTACCCGCCCGCTACAGGTACGTACCCGCCCGCTACAGGTACGTTCCCGCCCACTACAGGTACGTACCAGCCCACTACAGGTACGTACACGCCCACTACAGGTACGTACCCGCCCTCTACAGATACGTACCCGCCCACTACAGGTACGTACCAGCCCACTACAGGTACGTACCCGCCCACTGCAGGTACGTACCCGCCCACTACAGGTACGTACACGCCCACTACAGGTACGTACCCGCCCACTACAGATACGTACCAGCCCACTACAGATACGTACCCGCCCACTACAGGTACGTACACGCCCACTACAGGTACGTACCCGCCCACTACAGATACGTACCAGCCCACTACAGATACGTACCCGCCCTCTACAGATACGTACCCGCCCACTACAGGTACGTACCCGCCCACTACAGATACGTACCAGCCCACTACAGATACGTACCAGACCCACTCCAGGTGGGTTACAGGTCTCCAACCATTTATTGCATGTCCCTAGCTGTAATTTCCTTGCCAGTCTTTCATGCTTTAGCAAGGTCTTAATTAATTAAGGTTAAAGTTAAGGTTAAAGTCAAGGTTAAATGCTTCAGCAAGGTCCATGTATGCTACATCAACCGGAAGACCTTAGTCTATATAGCTGGTTACCGTTTCCTAACATGGTAGAAGGTTTGTAAGGCAGGATTTATATGGAACAAATCCATGTTGAGTTGGCTGTACAAGATTGTTCAGTGAAGGATCTTGAGAGGTTATCTTGAGATGATTTCGGGGCTTTAGTGTCCCCGCGGCCCGGTCCTCGACCAGGCCTCCACCCCCAGGAAGCAGCCCGTGACAACTGACTAACACCCAGGTACCTATTTTACTGCTAGGTAACAGGGGCATAGGATGAAAGAAACTTTGCCCATTGTTTCTCGCCGGCGCCTGGGATCGAACCCAGGACCACAGGATCACAAGTCAGCGTGCTGTCCGCTCGGCCGACCGGCTCCTGGATGGTGAACGATTCCTTGCCTTAGAGTCCTCTCCGTGAGCTTGTAGATGTGTGATGTCACGCTGATCGGACGGTAATTTTCTGCTGAGCTCTTTCTGCCTTTTTTCAAATAGAGTTAACATTTGCATCCAGTCCAGGGGGGGACTGGAGGGACTGGATACCTCGGTCCAGAGATTTTGTGAAAAATATTTTCAGCGGGAGGCTTAGTTCTTGTGCCAGTTCCTTTATGACTTTGGATTGAATTCCCAGTCACACCTCGGGGCTATTTATTTATTTATTTATTTATTTTATTTATTTATATATATACAAGAAGGTACATTGGGTTTGTGAGAATACATTCGATAGTACAGTATTTACATTCTTGTAAAGCCACTAGTACGCACAGCGTTTCGGGCAGAATCAGACTCTTCCTGATTACTTCCTGATTAGTGGTCTTGTAGTTTGTCAGTTGTCTTCCTGATTGCGTCGCCTGTTATAGGTATATATCTTAATTCATTCTCTTCACCTCCTTCAAACATTTGTGTGGGTGATGGGATGTCGTCTAATTTTTCTAGTGTGAACACTGATGTAAAGTATTCAGTCAAGAGTGTTTGCTGCCCTTGTATCGTCCATTATAACTTGGTCAGTCTCACCTGTTAAGGATCCAACCGAGTCCGTAGCTTTTGTTTACTTCTTATATAGCCATAAAACTATTCTGGATCTTGCATTATGTTGACCAGACCACACACTAGAAGTTGAAGGGACGACGACGTTTCGGTCCGTCCTGGACCATTCTCAAGTCGATTGTGGTCCGTCCTGGACCATTCTCACAATCGACTTGAGAATGGTCCAGGACGGACCGAAACGTTGTCGTCCCTTCAACTTCTAGTGTGTGGTCTGGTCAACATACTTCAGCCACGTTATTGTGACTCATCGCCTGCATCTTGCATTATGTTTTGGTAAAATTTTCTTTCGTAGTTTCTTTTGGCTGATTTGAGTTGCTTAGTGGCTGAGATTAGTGCCCTTTTGTTTACCTAATAGTCAATGTTGTCCATCGTGGCTTTATATGCGATCTCCAGAGGTCCATCTTGGTTATCAGTGCTCGTTGTAACCCCTGAGTCATCCACCTAGTTCCCTTTTCTTTTCTTTCTCCTTCTTTGTCACATATTTTTGAACGAGTTCCATGGTGACCTTCTTGACGTTGTGTCATGACGCTGCCACGCCGTGTGTGCCCACCAGCTTCTTCCAGGAGATGGTGTGCAGTTTATCTCTCACTCCGTAATAGTCTCCTCGAAGGTAATCTAGAAACTCATCATCTCTGACCTTTAAGTGGGTATCTATGTTCGTCGTCAGTCTTGAAATATGGTGATCACAACCCAGGGCTTGGCTTCCCCCCCCCCCCCCCCCCTACCTCAGTTTGATCAGTCATGCCTTCTTCCGATGTTCCACTTTTTTATTATTGGCTTTAAACCACGTATATATATGATGGGAAGCTCCATCATATATATATACAAGATGGTAACTAAACTATGCACCACATGAGGTGGTGTGGACCATGTCGACTAAACTATGCACCACATGAGGTGGTGTGGACCATGTCGACTAAACTAACATTAGTGGAGAGAATAAGGTTTTGTCTGGGAACTTAACATACAAGGAAGGGGGGGGAAGTAATATTTGTCGATTAGTTTAATTATGTGGGATGTGCGATAAGTTGAAGTTGTACATACTAATATGAGATTGATGCGAGCGAGAGAGGAGTCGATTAGTTGAGTCCGAGGACTGCGAGCTCACAATAGGGCAGTATAGAAGGTGTGAGTTGTGTGGGAGGTATTGGCAGAACAGGCAAAGGAAGTTATGTAAATATAATGGCAGCAGCTTGGTTAACTAACGTCAACAATCAGCATGGTAGAGGAGACGTACTGAGATGGCTTGGTTATACCTGGTTGGTGCCTGGTTGATGGGGTTCTGGGAGCTCTTCTACTCCCCAAGCCCGGCCCGAGGCCAGGCTTGACTAGTGAGAGTTTGGTCCACTAGGCTGTTGCTTGGAGCGGCCCGCAGCCCTACATACCCACCACAGCCCGGTTGGTCGGGCACTCCTTGGAGAAAATTATCTAGTTTCCTCTTGAAGATGTCCACGGTTGTTCCGGCAGTATTTCTTATTCACGCTGGGAGGGTGTCGAACAACCGCGGACCTCTGATGTTCATACAGTATTCTCTGATTGTGCCTATGGCTCCTCTGCTCTTCACTGGTTCTATTCTGCATTTTCTTCCATATCGTTCACTCCAGTACGTTGTTATTTTACTGTGTAGATTTGGTACTTGGCCCTCCAGTATCTTCCACGTGTATATTATTTGGTATCTCTCTCGTCTACTTTCTAGTGAGTACATTTGGAGAGCTTTGAGACGATCCCAATAATTTAGGTGTTTTATCTCGTCTATGCGTGCCGTATATGTTCTCTGTATTCCCTCTATTTCAGCAATCTCTCCTGCTCTGAAGGGGGAAGTGAGTACTGAGCAGTACTCATAACGGGACAACACAAGTGACTTGAAGAGTACAACCATTGTGACATTGTGGCTTTGTTGGGGATGACTGCTGGAGTGTGGTGGTGGTGCTGTGGATGACTGGTGGAGTGTGGTGGTGGTGCTGTGGATGACTGCTGGAGTGTGGTGGTGGTGCTGTGGATGACTGCTGGAGTGTGGTGGTGGTGCTGTGGATGACTGGTGGAGTGTGGTGGTGGTGCTGTGGATGACTGGTGGAGTGTGGTGGTGGTGCTGTGGATGACTGGTGGAGTGTGGTGGTGGTGCTGTGGATGACTGGTGGAGTGTGGTGGTGGTGCTGTGGATGACTGGTGGAGTGTGGTGGTGGTGCTGTGGATGACTGGTGGAGTGTGGTGGTGGTGCTGTGGGTGACTGGTGGAGTGTGGTGGTG